CGCGTACTTCACCGGGACACACTGGATATGGTGTAACTGGGCCCTTAACCCTAAGGCAAAACCATTGACTAAGACTAGTTTGCATTTGATGTCTAAAATTCAATATAATGCATAGCAAACAATGCAAAGGCAATCTAGTAACACGTTCTTTAGCAGCAAACTACGGAGTCATTTAATTGCATAGTTTTGAGCAAGGAGCTACAACATTCCTACACCTCAATGCAAAATGACTTTGTACTGTGTCAATAAGAGGATCCCAGGGTCATACCCGTTAAGTACCTTCTACTGGAGACGTTTTTAATTAATTTGCCTGAAATAAATTCCATTTTTAGCAATAGCACATTATTCATTTTGGGAAAGATAGCTGAACTGTGTGGTTTAGCAGGCCCATAGCACCAGACACACATGTTGTTATAGTAAACGTCCAATAAACAGATACATCATTGTATTGTGGGATGCTGGGGGTGTTCCAAAGCTCAGAGCAGAGAATAAATTGCAAAGTGTGTCAAGGAAGTGTGTCAAGGAAGACATCCAGTTAACGAAAGGTGTACACAGGCACTTTGTGCCATCGGTTACAAGGTTAGCTTTTTGTGCCAGGACTCATTATCTTCCATACTTTTTGCACCATTAAGGAACAAGTGCGAATCAGGAATTCCGATTTCACTTGCTACATGTTTATTCTTGATCAGGACTAAAACTGCTGATGCCAGAGAGAAGCTGGCAACTAGCATTTGCAGGTGGTCAGCAATGGCGTCAAGTACTACTTGCAGTACATATGCACTTTAACCAGTTGACATCCGCGGTGTTAAACCCCCTTCCCATCCAGGCCATTTTTCAATATTCAGCGCTGCGGTACTTTGACATTTATTCCGTCATGCAGCGCTGTACTGAAATGAATTTTATACCCTTTTTTGGGGACAGATAGAGCTTTTGGTGGTATTTATTCACCACTGGGGTTTTATTTTTTACTATATTAAGGAAAAATTACCGAAATTTAAAAAAAAAAACCAAAAAAAAACCAAAAAAAAAACAAAACAGTTTCCCCTATATTAAATGATAAAACATGTATTACCCAATTTTGTGGTAAAATATAAAAGACGGGGTCACGTCGGGTAAAAAGACACCAAACATGTCAAGCCTTAAAATTGCGTGCGCGCGCGAAACCTCAAGAAACGATAATACCCAAACTATAGCAGCCAGATGACTGACAGGTGAATGCGGAAGTGATGTAATACACATTGCGCGAAAAAGGATGCGCGAAAAAAACGGCGGCGGCCGCGCGGGGTGGAACATATAGACGATCGGCGGGCTATGGAGCCACCGATCGTCTATATGTTTAACACGGTAACGGGTGTTTGTATTGGTCGGGTCTTATCTGCCCGTGCGTGCCCGCTAGGGGGCGCGCACGAGCAGAAAAAAAATGCCGTCTGGCGACAGCAACCCGCCAATGCAGCGGTGCCGTCCGTCCGTTTTTTTACAACGGGCGGACGGCAAGTGGTTAAAGTGTATTTCCACTTTCACAGCCAAATTGGGATAACACTTAAATTATATTCGTTAGATATTTCCATGCACATAGCATAAGTTAAAAAAAACCAATATATATCTATCTATATTTATTTATATTAAAAAGACTTCGTGCAATTTACATTAACAATTCCAAAAAAGTAGAACCTGAGAAAGTGTACCATTTTAAGAAAAAAAAAAAGGTGATTTTGAAATTGATGGCATTGGTTTTCTAATTTGAATAAAGTCTGGGTTTATGAGATTTGCAAATCATTGCATTCTGTTTTTATGTAGATTTTATACAGCGTCCCAAATTTTTTGCAATTGGAGTTGTAAATTGCTTTTACTTGGGTTAGGGTTTCTTGGCTTCTTAAAGAGGACCTTTACCCATATCTTCAAAAATAACAGCAAAAGGCACCTTTAGAAATGTTCAGTAATGGAAATCTACAACACACATACTTCTAGATAATTACCGGCTTTTTATTCTTTGTCGAGTCGGGAAGCTCACCGGGAGGAGAGGGCCAGACGCATGTCCTTAGCGTGGCGTAAGCGGTGTCGCGTGAGCGGGTATACCAGCCTAGGCGCAAGCGGCTTAACCGACGTGGGCGTGGTGTGAGCGGCGGGCGGGAAATTTGAATTGTAGCCGACGAATCGACGATGGAAAACGTTGACAGCGTTTTCCATCGTCGATTTTAATCGTCTTAATCGAATAATTGTTGCAGCTCTATTGCATACCTTGTTTTTCTTTTCCCCCCTACTCTTCTTACAGTGGCCATTTTTTCTAAGGGCAGATTAATCCATTTCCCTTTAGTTGCTGGAACTCTCGCACATGTGACTAGGACATGCGACTATGTTCTATCTCAGGGGAGGAAAATCCCTTTACTGAGATTTTCTAGCAATGCTCTGCTGATGTAACCTTCCCAGAATTCAAATGCTTGGTCACATTACATCACTTTTACCAAAGAGAACCAGGAAGTAAAAAACAAGAAATTGTAATAAAAATAAAAATATGTTTAACTAATGAATGTAGGAGAATTTCATATCAGCATGGAGAGCTGCACACTGATGTGATTGTTAGCCAAAGAGGGGTAAACGTTCACTTTAAGGATCAAAAACTTTACTTGCTTTGCCTTCTTTGTAATGTTAGGAAGGGCTGTGAGGGGTTCAAGTATTAAAAGCTTGGCTTCTCCATTGTACGTTAATGAGAGAAATACAATAATATATAATGTTGGGGGGTTTTAAGTAATTTTCAGGCCTAAAATGTGAAATATAACATGGGTACAAAAAATGAAAAAAAGGCCTCAGTCATGAAGGGGTTAAATGTCAGTCCTTTTCAGTCTTTCTAGAAGGATAGATCACTGTAAAGATGCTCAGAAAAACCTGGAAACAGCCATGTTGCCTACTGCAACATGACATCTAAACAGGTAAATAAATATTAATAAATTATAAAAAATAAATTATTTTTCGGTATGCCACGTGAGTAGAACACAAACACATAAAAGAGGGGTTTACTCAAATTTGACTGCAAAAGTGGAAATACACTTTAAAAGTAGGGATGCGCGATACTAGTATCGGCACCGATACGGAGTATCGCCCAAATGTTCCGATATTGGAACATTCGGTCAGTGGGAGATCTCCCTCTGAGCAGCAGTGCCCAGGGAGCTAGTTTTCTTTCCAATAAGGAAGCCAGGCGGTGGTTAAAGACCCGCCTCCCGACTTCCTGATTGTCTAGGAGGCCGGCTTCACTTGTTGCTAGGCAGCTTGGCTTCCTGACCAATCAGGAAGCCGGATGGCACGTCATGACCCGCTGTGCGGCTTCCTGATTGGTTAGGAAGGCAGACAGCCTTGGCAAGTGAAGCCGCTGTTCTTTCGATAGTCATGATTCGACGCCCAACTTCCTGATAATTGGGGTCCACGGTACCAGTATCAATGCATTCCTACTTTAAAGCCTTTACTAACAATATTTCCAAATATCAAATTGTATTAAGCTTCAGAGAGGCACATTATGGCAAAAGAATATGGCAAACTGAGCTGCAACTGCAGGCAGGTATATTTATAAAATTAAATAATGCATAGCAGTTTGAATTTATGGACTATTCTGAACCTTTGGCATTACCTGGATTTTATGTGTGAATGGCTCCTAAACTCTTGTGCAATCTTCAACTATGCCATAATAATAGAATACAATCTGCCCAATGTAATCCTGTTAAAGAAATACAGGGGCTACCATTCTCACTAGATTCTCCAAATGATTGCTTACTGTATGTTTTGTTCTTTAATACTTTGAATCATTAACCCAGAAGAATTCAGATCGGAAAAGTTGGTAGTTCGAGGTCAGAAATTTAAAGCACTGAAGCAAGAACATTAGAATGACAGCCAGGTAACTCACAGGTCAGAAAAGACAGTCTGCATATTTTACTGACATGTTTCATTAATCTAACAGCAAAGAAAGAACTGTACCCTGTCATGTGTACACATTAAAAAAAAACATAATTCAGGGTGTACAAATACAAGCACCTTAACATTTATTGACTAGCAGAGCCTCCCCTTGCAAAACCCTCATGAAACTTTACCTGTCAATACTGATAAATGTGTGACCCTGTTGTGGATATTTAACCTTACTTTCGTTCTCTGTGACACCAGGACAACAAATTAGGCATTGGAGTTGTGCTTTAAGCATTAGATGATAGACCACTATTTTGACATTCTTCTGAATCATTTCTCAACATAATTTTAAGTCACAGTTTTCGCTTTGATAGCACACAGTTAAGGTACTGCAGTACCAAAGCAGCCCCCAGCTCCGACACCCCTTCCTCATAATTAGGATGATATTTTGGTGTTGGGGTGTGGTTCCTTTAACTCCAAACATAGTTATGGGCATTTCTGTCCCTGAGTTTATCTCCCCACTCCACAAAACATTGTATGAACAAAAAATGTGAGCAGATCAAAGAGATTTCTCTGGGCATTTTGCAGTCATTCTGGGGATCGTTTTCACCTTCTTCAGCAAAAACAATTTAATTTTTTCATGTCGATAATTATCTTGACCCACTTTAACTTGAATCTTAGTGCTGTGTAAATTATTCAGCTTCATTGTAGCCACTTCCTGTCTACATACATGTGCTCCAGTGATAGCTGCACGAAATGTCTCCAGAAATTCTTGCAGCTGGAGACAATAGTGGAACATGCCTACACAATGGGTGCTGGCACAGAAACTTTTAGTCTCCACTGGAAGCACAAGTGACATGGTGAAAACATAGGATAGGAAATGGGAGACACACGGATAAAGCAGAACAAGGATCTTCAAGGAAAGATTACCCGATATTATTTGAGGGCCCATTCACACCAGACCAGACCGTTTTCGGACCCAAAATGCATCCTAATGTATCCCTATGCTATTTCTGGCCTCTGATCATACCAGCGCAGTCCGTTCCAGACCAGACCAGAAAAATACAGCTTATTTTGTCTGGTCTGGAATGCATAGAAACACATAAAAACCACATACTAATGCACTGGAACGCACCTGTAAGAACATTTTAAGCAAAAAAGCCCAAAAGCCTCCCGAACACGGCAAAACGCAATGCACTGCGTTCCAGATCTGGTCCGGAAAATGGTGTGAACCTGCCCTTAAAGTGACACTAAAAACTCAGGCGTTAAATCTTAATGAATTCAAGTACCTTAACCATTAACAAAAATGCATCTTATTTGTGTATCACTTCCTTCTGCAGGGTGACTACTTTTGTTCCCCATGGTCCCTGTGTGTGTTGTCAAGTAGCCACTGCTGCAAAGTCACTTCCGTGATAGACTATAATTTTAGTACAAATTAGTACACTAAAGCTGGTCATACACAGTTCTATTTTTTTTTCATTCAAGCCATGGGCTTAACGAAGAAAACAGAACAGATTCCTCCATCAACGCTTTTACAAGCATTTATCAAGGAATGCCACCGTTTCCTTTGTATTCCGAAAGTGGCCAGCTCATCGGCTGCCGACTCTGTTCGTTTGAAGATTTTCTGACCGGCTCCTTTGATCAGCTGATCGGGGGATGCCGGTCGAAAGGGTGCTGGCAGCGGCACTTACTGTACGAGTTTCGGCCGGTTCCTGAAGAACTGAAATTCGAATAGTGTATGGCCAGCCTAAACGTAAAATAGGAGCCCATCACTTTAGTGAGCTTGGACAACACAATATCCATTAAACCTAGTATTTTGAAAAGGTCAATATGTGACCTGTGAAAGAAAGAAAACAAGTTCTGCCCATAAAAAGACCATCACTAAGCATAAACATACTGCAAGCAAAAATAGAACAGCAAAATATGGTAAAGTTAGATAAAATCACCTGTGACTGAAGTCAACGTTTCTGCAGTTAGGTGCTGGCTCTTGATTCAGATGACGCCTCATGGCTATTTTAGCAGGTGAGTATCGGGTATAGTCAGGTTGAGATTGTCCAGCAGTCCTCTCTCCCTTGTGTCGTGATGAATGTATTTGTGTATTTGAAACAATGTCAGAAAGATCCATATGGGAAGGAGTGCTCTCTTTTGAGCAAGGCCTACTTCCCCCACTGCGGCCTGAATGGTAAAGCTCATGCAATGCATGACCATTTGTGGAGAGATCTGGGCTTAAGCCATTGGGAATGGAGGGCTGAGGGGGATGCACACGTGCATGTGATGCATCAGTGGAGTAGCGAGCACCTAAACTGCCCTTAGGGCGATTGTTGCTTGGCGGAGGATCATCTGGCAAAGTGGAAGACTTCAGCTGAATCAGCTCGTGCTGTCTTTGTAATTTCTCCAGCTCAACAATACTAATCTAAAAAAAAACAAAAAACAAAAGACGACTTGTAATAATGACATTATATAATGCACATATTTTAGATAAAGCTTCTTTTAAATTTGTTAAACATGGATTCAACCCACCAGCAGTTACCCAAAGGCAGTACAACTTTACTGTCTTTAACAAATTTCTAACCTTACTGTTCCAAATTGAGGAGGAACGCTAAGCCTCAAGCAAATATGGAATGTATTACAAAAACGCAGTTTCCCACTTCTCATGACATCTTCGGAAACCCTCCAGGCAACATAGAAATAAACCATTTTCTCTGTACAAATACCCCCGGCGGCAAAAGTCGCCGGGAGTCTGTTTAAACAGCCCCGATGCTGGCGACGTACACTGTACGAAGGGGTTAATAATATATTTTGTACATATAACTGAAGCGCCAAAACAAACTAGCACCATAATTATCTAATGAACATCAAATAAATAGTACAACCATAAAAACCCAGCCTGTGGTCCCAATATTGTCCTTCATGTATGGGACATTAACTGAATACTCTAGGCCGGCTTGGCAGAGGAAAAGACCCCCAGGGACAGCGCAGTACCCACAGGACTGAACACCCCCACATAGGACCCCAAGGCATCAACCGCAACTGGGGAAGGGACACAGGCGTGCAAAACACCCATCGCAGGGAAGGGCAAGCAGCCTCCAAGGGAAGCCCGCAGCCCCCACCAGGCACAGCAGACGGCTTGTCCCTGCGGTCCCCGGGCACTAGTATCCTCAAGTGGAGCCAAAACTGAGACCCCCCGCAGGTAGAAGGAAACCCAGCAACTCACGGCCCCTGGCACAGCAGAACGGAAGATGCAGCAAAAACGTCCTCCAGCCATGGACCCGACAGCCTGGATCAGCAGCAGCAGACCTGTGTCCCCTTGAAAATGGCCTCCACGGCGAAATAGGACCGCCCCATCCACCCGCGGACCGGAAGTGAGGTCACACAGGAAGGGCAAGCCGCCCTCATCCAAGATGGCGGGCGCGGCATCCGGACTAGGCCGCAACTGGAGCCGGGACCTCGATTTTCGGCCGACCGCGCACGAGGGGCCGAAATCAGAACGAACATGCGGCCGCGGTACCGCGACCTCCCGCGCCGCGTGCCGCTCACAGTCAGACCCCTCAGGACCATCCAGACCCTCCAGGGAAGGCCTCTGCCTCAGGAACACCTGTTAATGAGGAGGAGGAGGGGGAGGAACGCGGCATGAGAGAACCGCGTCCCCCAGCAGCATCCCACACAGACCGGAGCCTTCAGCCACCGCAACCACGAGGGGCCATCCAGGTAAGACGACCATCAGGAAAGGCAGCACTCAGAGACCCTTCGCACAGCCCCAGACAGACCCCCACATACATACCGTACCAGGGGGGAACCAGGCAGACTCCGAACCCACAACCACCACCATCATCCAGGGGGGTGATGATTCCAGGGAGCCCTCTCGGAAAACCCGGCATCAGGGTGCGCAGGGATGGCGGAAAAACGCCCCCGACCTCAGCCGCGGCGCCGCCAGCCTGAGTGGAGTGCTGTGACTGGAAGGCCGAGACCCCCAGGTCATATGCACCCCACAGGGACAAGCCCACAGGCCACTCCGTTGAAAAAACAGAGTTGTCGCAGCCGACCCACCGTGGCAGAGTCTGCATGCGCTCACCGGTCGTCCAGGGAAGACTGCAAGGATCCACAAACTTCCAGCCTGTCTCCCTGCCGACACTTGCTAGAAGATCCAGCGAAAAAAACAGGAGAAATCCCGCAAGAATTCAAGAGAAAAAATTTGAAGCTCCTCACTCCTGACGCTAGGCAAAAAACTGGAGACTTGTTAGCAAGTGGGGGGTTTGGCCACCAGCAGGGGCCGCCCCTAGGCTGTCTTGTCTTTTGTTATGTGCCTAGCGTCCTACTCCTGCAGGTGGCGATATACCTACCATTCAGGATCTACGATCTGTTGCCCTGTTTTTCAAAGTATACCTGGTGTATATACAGCCCACCGGACCCTTGGTGGACATCAGAAGTTCACGGGATCCTGGTGCACAATGTTTGGGATGTACAAGCATGCAGCAGTATCATAACAAGCGTGATATTACCAAAGCAAGGTGATAATAATTCTGGATTTCAAGTGTTGGAGATTTCCATGCAATGTAAAGTGCTGAATGATGTGCAATAAGTGCAGAGGCTGGCCTAGAGTAATCAATTTATGTCCCAGACGTAGGTACTATTAATTATACATGGACAATTTAGGAACCACAGGCTGTGTTTTTATGGTTGTACTATTTGATATTTTTTTCTAGATTGCCTGGAGGGTTTCTGAAGATGTCATGTGCAGCGGGAACCTGCCCTTTCTTTGTTTTTGATTACCTATATTTATTCCAGCTTTTTGTCAAGACTAAATAGTCGAGTTTTTGGACCCCCATCTGGGCATGATGCCCAGAACTAATGTAACAAGAAAAACAAGCACATGCGATGACAATATGGATAAGGGAAGATCCAGAAACCGGATTATGTGAAAGTTTTGAAGTAGATTTTAAAATGCAAAATAAGGCCCCTCCTAACATAGTTATGGCCACATTTGCTTACAAATCGAAGAAAAATGCCTTTATACATACATCCTTCCAAAACAAAGTCCTACCCAGTTCTGAAATAAAAAGCAAACACATTAAGTTCAACTGTCTAAATTAAACAGATAGGAGTTAAACAGCATGGCAGGAAACGGGTTGGACATGCTAATAAAGCAAAGTGCTCTGGGATAATTTTTTCAAAAACTTCTAAAGCACAACACAATCATACCTGTAACTCCAAGCAATGCTTCTGCTTCTCTGAAATCTGGTTTTTCAGTGCCAATTTTTCCTTCATCAGATTTTCCAGGGACAGTGTATTCCAGTCCAGCTTTAATTCTTCACAACGTGCCTTCAGCTGGAAAAATAAACTTTTTCCATAAATATAAATGCTTCTCCTAACATGTTGTAGAATTCTATTTTTCAAACCCATTGGGTTACCTTTCATACAAATTCTGTGTGTATCTTAATGCCACTTATTTTACTCACCAGCTGCAAACTGTGGTTTCTCAATTCACCATTTTCCTGCTCCAACTGTCGGCTCTGTTCCTTCAATTGCAGATTGTGAGAGGAGATCTCCTTCTGGGCTTGAATAAGATCACTATAAGTAAGGGCCTTGACTCCCAGCTGTAAAGTAAAAAAATCTATGTTAAGTACAATTGCTCAGTAGGGGGAGAGGCACAGATTTATAAGGACCATTAGCATTTTCTTTGCCACTCTGCCTTTTCTTTATGAGCTTCGTGCTTATAAAACACAAGCAAGCATAATTTTGTAGAACTATATTTTTCAGGTATGGCTTCACTTTACATGTTTGGTTTACAGGGAATGTACAGTGATTTTGAAAATCTTTTCTCTTTATTATGGCCATTAGTAAAACAAATTAGGACTTTTGTACTTGCCATAAAATCAATTTCTTGTAGTTGATAAAGGGACATAGGATTCAGTTATTTGGACAGTATTGGGTTACACTGCCCCCTACAAGAGGATTTGGACACTGGTTTTTTTTTCTGCAGTAGAAAAGCAGTACGAGGACTAGGTCACAAACAAAAAGGAGTGAGACCTGTGTCTCACAATCTCCAAGAAAAGGATTTTAGTGCAAGTACAAAAAATCTTACTTCGATTTTTAAGCTTTCCTTAGCCCCCTTTCACTAAACATCACATCAGTGGGGAGCTCTACGTGTTGATATAAAATGATCTTACATTCATTAAACATATTTTGCTTTTACTTACAATTCTTGTTTGTCCACTTCCTGGTCCTCTGAGGTATACGTGATGTAGCCCATGCTTAAGAGGTGCATTCTGGTTACATCAGCAGTGCATTGCTGAGAAATCTCTTCTGTAAAATGCAAAATTTCGTGGCATCTCAGAGAAACACATTTTCCCCTCTAGTCCCATGTGCCAGAGTTGCGGGAAGTAAAGGGAGATAGATTATTCTGCCCTTAGTAAAAATGGCCACTGTGAGAAGAATGAGTTGGAAAAGAAAAATAAGGTATTCAAAGAACAAAAAGCCTACAATTATCTAGATGTATCCGGTTGTAGATTGTCATTAATAAACATTTCTAAAAGGTGCCTTTTTGTCATTTTAAAGATGAGGATTATGTTCCTCTTTAAGGGACACAGGATTCAGTTAATCAGAGACGAATAAGACATCCATAAGTAGCCCAAATGAGGGGTTTGAAACACTAACAAAACCACGAAGAGGCCTACATAACAAAACAATAGAAATGGGGCAGCCTGCAGCTCTAAGACCCGTCTGAAGAACAGCTCAAAGAGATGCCAGAACAACCTGGTAAAACCTAGAGAACATGCAACAAGGCAGCCAAATGAACACCTAGCAGATAGGTGAAACCGTTTACTGATGCAAAAGAAACGTATCTAGTACACTGAGCTTTAACAGGAAAGGGTGGAACCCGATCCGCAAGACAATAAGCTTGAAGAATTTCCTGGTTGAGGTGAAATACCGAAACCACCTAAGGGGAAAAAAAAAAAAGAGGATCAGGGGAATTTTGACTCAGAGACACCTGTCTCTCAGAACCTTGGCTTCAACAGCCATGCTGTTATCGCCAGCTACTGTGAAGCCCTGCTTCAGTCTTTGGCATAGGAAATCCAGTCAGTCTGAAGATACCACGGGGTGTCGGCCAGAAATTTGATCAAGTCTGAGTACCACAGCCACCTGGGCAAGTTCAGAGCTATGGAGGATCACCAGAATACCTTCAAGGAAGGAAGAAGTTTAAGGGAAGCCACCACAGCATTCAATGCTTCTCCCAGCTGGAGACAAATCTGTCCAGTTTGTTGAACCTGGGGGTCCACATCTGGTATCTCCTACCTACTGCACAGGCCCTGGAAAACCAATGGGTGTAGGACCATTCCCCCTGATCATGGAGCTGCTGGCTGAGGTAGTCTGTCTGCCAGTTGTCTACACCTGGAATGTGAACAGCAGGACAAGGTGCTGGCTGGAATGTGGAGCACCACCCAGGCTAAAATGCTTACTACCTCACTTGCTTCAGCAAGACTTGTAATTCCATCCTGATGGTTCATGTATGTCACTGATGTGGCATTATCCTACTGGACCCCGATCAGATGACCTTTCAAGTGTAGTGTCCAGTGAGACAGGGACAACCAAATCACGAGGAGCTCCAGAATGTTAATGGGGAGACAAGATTCCTCTAGCAGCAAAGTTACGTCCACTGACAAAGTGTCTAGGACACCTCACCAGCCCTTCAGGCTAGCATCTGTTGGGATTTTATAAGACAGTGAAAGTAAGGATTTCCCTAACTCTAGAGCTAGATTTGTTGCCTCACGATGGCACCACGATGAGTATTGTGTTGAAGGGGTCTAGAGTGAAATTGAGCAGATGGAACTGCCTCAAAGTAGGCTACCATTAAATAAATAGCTCTCACGCAGAATTGCAGAGTTGGATGACTCCTGTACTGAAAAGACTGAATCTG